TACAAAGACATGGAGACAAGACACAAAGACATGAACATGAGACACAAAGACATGGAGACAAAAGACACAAAGACATTAACATGAGACACAAGACACAAAGACATGGAGACAAGACACAAAAACATGAACATTAAACACAAGACATAAAAACACAAAAAGACACAAAAGCATTGAGACAAAAGACACAAAGACATGGAGACAAAATACATGGAGACAAAAGACGCAGATATGAATATGAGCCAAGACAAGGTCATGAAGACAAAATACACAAAAACATGAACATGAGACACAAGGCACAAAGACATGGAGACAAAATATACAAAGACATAGAGATGCAAGACACAAAGACATGGAGTCAAAATATACAAAGACATAGAGACGCAAGACACAAAGACATGGAGTCAAACATGCAAAAACATGTCGACAAAAATCACAAAGACATGAACACTTGACATAAAACACAAGGACATGGAAACAAAATACCCAATGACACAGAGACAAAAGACACAAAGAGACAAAAGACACAAAGAAGGAGGACACATACACAGAGACACAATATCAAGCAGAAACTGACTGTTCTTTCTGTACAGCAGGATTTCGAAGCACTTGGACTCATAGTTGTCAAACGTCTGTCGGACGTTATCGATGGTCTTCTTGTCCGTCCGCTCTCCGTACATAAAACTAAACAAACAAACAAACAAACAAGACAAATGTTGGAAAAATACTGGAGCTCCTCAAAATGAAATTTTATTGAACATTATGGCGTAACGACCGTTAGTAAAGTCAACTGTTGGACTGTTAACCTGGTTAACCGTCGGGCAGTTAACCAGGTTAACAGAAGGATTATTTGAATTAATCCATATTTAATCTGATTGTCCTCGGTCATTGAGGCAGCTGAAAGGAACGATTGTTTTGGTGGGTTTACCTGCAGGTGCTGCTCTTCTGCATGACCTCAGCTCTGTGGAAGCCCGACAGCTTGCAGAAGCCGTCATTGCTGTAGACCACAGGCCACTCCACGATCTGAGCGTTTCCCAGGAGGAAGCTGGTCTCTGATGATGGACAGGGCAAACAAGATGTCAGCCCACAGAGCCAAAGACACATCAGATACCAGGCTGAGAACCTTCAACACCACCAGAGACTGAAGCGTGGAGGTACACAGACCTCCATCTTTGTTTGTTTACATCTTATTTATCTCCACTGGATGTTTGAGCCTTTCAGGTCCGGTCTACTCAACAGAACCTTCTCAGTCCACATCATTCTAAGAAAAACAGTGAATGTGACCGCAGGTGGTGAGAACGTCCACATCACAACATATCCAGCTACAGAGGAAGAACGTGTTGAGTTTGGTTTGAAATTAAACTAAAACTTGTTCTGTTCTTTGAAGTGGGTTCAGTTTTATCTCAAACAGGATCAAATGAAACCAGAGACACAGAAACTGTCAACATGGCTCCATCGTTTGGTTTCTGGAAGGTGAAGGGTTCAGCTGCTGCGGCATCGTTACTGAAAACCCAGTTTTCATGTGGACAGACGTCCAAACTGGGCAGAAGATCTGCGTTTTACCAACAACTGGGAGAAGGGACCACCAGAAGTGGTCACCAGAACACCAGAAGAAGTCCAAAGAGACGAGTGGGAGGACGTCACGGAGCTGATGGAGGCCATGTTCTCACTCCTTTCCACAAATCGAAGCTTTTCCTCCAAACGAGGTTAAATCTGCTGAACCAGAACCGCGTGAGAAGAAGAATGAACCAAGGAAAAGAGTTTCCTGCTCCAGGAAACTGAATGACAGCACGACGGGTCCTCCTGAACATTCATCCAGATCAGAATAACGAAGGAGTCAAAACAGACTTCAAGGCAGAAGACGGAACGTCCAAATGGTCCAACGGCACGTTTCTGTCCCAAGAACGTCCACTTAAAAACTCTGACTGGAAAACAACATCTGTAGGAATCTGGTCCAGATGTAGTCCGCAGATGCCTGGTCCAGACCTGGATCCAGCAGTGAGGGTCTGTTGTCCTTCAGTGGAACCTTTGGATGGAGCAGGTCCATTTCCCCCCTCGGTCCACTTGTTGGTCCAGCAGGAGACAAAGGACAGAGGACATACTTTGACCTCTGATGATCTCAGTCCACGGGGACAGACCTGCGTCCACGCAGGTTCAGATTTCCTGATTTCTGCTTCAGGAGGAAGAATCCGTTGAAAAAACGGAAACATTTGATTTTAGACATCAGAGCCGAAATAAACTGCATAAACAAACAGTAAACAAACTGCTCTGGAAAATATTTAAAGTCAAATAAAAAATAAACATTTTCATGTTTTAATGTCAGAAATGATTTAACAGAAACAACATTTATTTAAATGATTCCTGAAGTGAAGGTTCAGCTGCTGTCTCCTAAACAGCTTCAATAAATGCACTTGTTTATTTGTTTATTTGTTTATTTGTTTGTTTGTATCCCGCCTGATCAATCAGTTCACCTCCAGGAGGAAACCTCCAGTACCGCTGCTGGACGGAGCCCAGCCCGAGCCCCGGTTCTGTCGGGTTCGGACCCACTCACCGCTGGACCTCCGGACGATGTTCTCCAGGAAGGTGTTCTGCGGCGCCACCAGCCCCCTCTTCCCGCCGGGCATCCTGCTGCGGTACCGCTGCTCCAGTCCGGCTCCGGGTTCGGTTCGGATTCTGTCTCTCGGTCCGACCCGCGGAGAAACGCATCGTAGCTGCGCGCTCGCGCTGCTCCTTACGCACTGAACCGCGGCGGCGCGCAGCAGCTCGGCTCCTGGCAGCAGCGTTGCGGCGCATGCGCGTCAGGGAGCTCCTCAGGACAGCTCAGGACGAGGAAAACCACGCGCGCTCAGTTAATTAGTTTAATTTTTTAAAAAGGTTCAGTTTGCTTCTACTTCACTGAAGAGGTTCTGTTGGAGAGAAAATTCTGAAACATAAAAATCTGGAAAACAAACTGTTAGAAAAAACAATAAAAGGCAAATTCAAGATGAATCTTCACCGCAGTCTCCCATATTGAGCAAGCACAAAGGTAACAGTGGAAAGGAAAAAGAAGCCTCCAGAAGGTCCAGGCTCAGGACCGGTCAACCAGCTGGGGTTTGAGAGGACAGGAAGTAGAAACAGACACAGAATGGCAGGTCCTGATGCTTTGAGGAAAGAAAAAAAAACCAGGATAGAAATAATTACAAATACAAAGCTCAGCTCTAAAATGGTTTAAATCATATTTTATAGATTCCAGTTTGTAAATAAATGAATCTTTATACATCAAAGTTAGTCGTGGTGTTCCTCAGGGTTCAGTGCTTGGACCAATACTTTTACTTTATATATGCTTCCACTGGGTAAGTTATTAAACAGCATGGTATCACAATGAGGCAAAATGGGGGACTGAGGCAAAACAGATTCAAGCTAGTAATAAATAAAATTTATACTACAATAAACACGCTTCTGTCCGCACCTGACCCATTTTAGACCTTAATTGTTGGTATTTTTATATTCTCTTATTTTTTATATCTTGTGTTATTCATTGTGTATGTTCCTTTGTATTGAAACTCTGGCACAACAATTTCCTGCAGGATCAATAAAGTTCTATCACATCTCTTATCTTGAATAATTAAAGTGACTTTATTTACAGTGTAGGAATCAGGGGAGCCTGCAACCTGCAGAAGAACGAAGAGTGTGAAGATGGCTTTTGGAAGGAAATGGTTAGGTTATGAACAGGTTCTCTATTCCTGTTATGTAGAAGGTTTCACATCATGGAGGAGAGCAGAGGATTCCTGGTCCACGGTTGAGAAGGTAAGAGATCACATGAGGCTCAAGGTAAGGACTGGTCGTGGAGGCACAAGGAAGCAGATTTAGGAGGCTGGTTCTAAGACACATGGAGGAGAAAATGAGGCAAGTACAATTCTGTCGTTCAAGTAATCACAAGGAGCTGAGAGCAATACCAGTTGGTATCTACTGTCTCAGCAGAACCCTTCCACAGGTTTTTATACTCCAGGAGCTCATCAGGGGAAATGACCCACAGCTGCTGCTCAGCCCAGGACTCAGGAACCTGCAGAGAAAATGCTGGAATCCTACACATGGGATACATTTTAATTATTATGCTGATGATAGTTATATTTATCCATGAAACCTGATGAATCCAATCAGCTACTCAGACTACAAGCATGTCTTAAAGACATAAAAACCCGACTGACACTTATTTTTTTTACTTTAAACTCGGACAAGAGGTTTGAGTTTTTGGACCTGAGCATCTTAGGAGTAAACTTGGCAGCCTTTCACTTCCTCTGGATGGCATTAATCGGACCTCCAGCTCTAATGTTCAAAATCTTGGTGTCATTTTAGATCAGGACATGTCTTTTATCCCCCCACATTTAAAAAAAAGTTACCACGACCACACTTGTTAGGAAACATAAACATGTTTGTTTATTTTTGTAGGGAACAAATTTGTCAATAACGTTAAATTATTAAAAAAAATGTTAAATTGGCAGCAAGTCCCGGCCTGGATCTCCTGAACGAGCCGAAGGTTTTGATCAATAAAAAGGCTAACATTACAAAGACTGGTTAAATCAGAACAGTCTGACCCCGAATGAACAAAAGACGGAAGTTCTCGTATTTGAAAACCAGACTCGTGTCTTTGTGATGAAATTCTGGATCCTCTTGCTCCTCACTGATCCTCTGTGGTCAAGAATCTTGGGGTGATACAAGACAGTTCTTTTAAACTTTACCAGTTACGTCAAATAACCAAAGCAAAATCTTACGTTCCTCTTAAAGACTTCAAAACTCTCAACCACGCTTTCATCCCCACCAGACGGAACAACTTTAACTCTACATGTTGGATCAGAACAATCGTCTCAATCGCCTGCAGTTAGTCCAGAATGCTGCTGCGCGTCTTTTAACAGGAACCAGAAGACCGGGCCACATCAGACTGGTTTTAGCTGATTTACACTGGCTGTTCCTTTTTGTATTATTAAGATTCTTTTACTGACTTTTAAAGTTTTAAATGGTTCAGCACCCAGTTACTTAATGGATCTTGTGCATTTTATGATCCAAACAACACCGAGATCCTCCAGTCGGATGCTTTTAGCGCAACCAAGGGCAAAATTAAAATGCAGAGGGGACTGGGCTTTTGCTGTGGCAGCTCCCAGACTCTGGACCAATCTGCCCATTGATGTTCATTCTGCAGAGTTCGTACCGTCGTTTATTTTCTTGTTTTAGTTTGTTCTTAGCCCATTTTATTAGACTTGTGCTTTAATGTCTGATCTTCCATTTATTTTATGGATGATTTCCTGTTTGTGAAGCACTTTGGTCAGCAGTGTTGTTTTTAAATGTGCTTATAAATAAAGTTGACATTACACAAAGCCTGCTGAAATAAATTGGAAAACACACCGTCACAGGCAGCAGTCAGGGCTACGGTAGTTTGGTGGTCTGTGCTGCGGTCTTGCAATCCTGAGGTTGCAGGTTCAAGCCCAGGTTGCGTCCGGAAGGGCTTCCTGTGTAAAACAATTGTTAAATCTTTCATGTGAGTTCGCTTGCTGTGGTGAGTTCTCTCTCTGTGGTGAGTTCGCTCTCTGTGGCGAGTTCGCTCTCTGTGGCGAGTTCGCTCTCTGTGGCGAGTTCGCTCTCTGTGGTGAGTTCGCTCTCTGTGGTCGCTCTCTGTGGTGAGTTCGCTCTCTGTGGCGAGTTCGCTCTCTGTGGCGAGTTCGCTCTCTCTGTGGCGAGTTCGTTCTCTGTGGTCGCTTGCTGTGGTGAGTTCGCTCTCTGTGGCGAGTTCGCTCTCTGTGGTGAGTTCGTTCTCTGTGGTCGCTTGCTGTGGTGAGTTCGCTCTCTGTGGTGAGTTCGCTCTCTGTGGCGAGTTTGCTCTCTGTGGCGAGTTCGCTCTCTGTGGCGAGTTCGCTCTCTGTGGCGAGTTCGCTCTCTGTGGTGAGTTCGCTCTCTGTGGTGAGTTCGCTCTCTGTGGTCGCTCTCTGTGGCGAATTCGCTCTCTGTGGTGAGTTGGCTCTCTGAGGTGAGTTCGCTCTCTGAGGTGAGTTCGCTCTCTGAGGGGAGTTCGCTATCTGTGGTGAGTTCGCTCGCTGTGGCGGCCCCTGATTAAACGAGGTAGCCGAAAGAAACGGACTATCACAAGGAGCAGTTGTTCACCCGCCACCATGCATGCCAACCATGACCTGTAGAGGAGGACTCTCAGCTACTACCAGCTCATTACCTGTTCAACTAGTTTTTGCTTATGTTAAACAACTGTGGTGGCCATCTTGAATTGGGCAGTGGGTAACCTAACCTTTGGCTCTGGCATGGGTCCAGTGTGACCTGTGAACAGCCCACGAGCCGGTCAGTCACATGATCCCTGATCTCTAGACACCAGTAATGTGCCCCTGATGCTGAACCTGCTCCACGGTGCTGTCAGTCAAACAGATACAGCTTGAATCTGGTCATGTGACCTCAGCTCGTAACTTAGAATGGAGGCTCCTCTTCAACTGTATTTCCTATTTGTTCAACTTGTGCTGAACCTCTGATGATCTCATTCCTAATTTTCTCCATCCTTGTCCCTCCTAAGGTGAACATCAACATCTTCATGTCCATTCAGGTCTGCTCTCATCACCACTCACTCTTCCCTGGGAATAATCTCTATCACTTCATCCAGATCTTTCCAAAATGTAAATTTCTCCTCTACATCACATCCAATCTGTGGAGCCTAACCATTGAAGACATTTAGCATCAGACCGTCTACTTCTACCTTCAGGCACATCACCCTATCTGACACTCTTTTCACCTCTACTACATTCTTTGCCATCTATTCCTTCAGGACCACCCTACTCCATTTCTCTTTCTATCCACACCATGGTAAAACAGTTTGAACCCTGCTCCAATGCTGCAAGCTTTGCTGCCCTTCCACTTGGTCTCTTGGACACATAAAATATCTACCTTCCTTCTCTGCATCATGTCAGCCAGCTCTCTACCTTTGCCTGTCATTGTCCCCATTTACAGTGGCAAACCTTAAATGTTGTCAGTGACAACATCAGACTCCTCAGGTGAATCAGCCAACTGAACCTGACTTTATGGTTCATCTAGACAGTGGTGCCGCTCCAAGTCTGAAGACGTGAACCTGGGTCTCCAGGAGAGGAGATGCTGCCTCTGCAGCTCAGAGAGCATCTTACATGATCACCCAGCCTGAGCTCAGTGTGCTGCATTGAGTTCTGTTAAATATTTTGCCTGGCTGCCTTCAAACAGATAAATGGATGTTCAAAGTCCTCGGTGCAATTCCAACATTCTTCTGGTTCATGTCCTGGTGTTTCTGTCAGAACATCTGCTCTGGGTTCTGGTTTCTTGGCCCGATAATCAGCTCAAACCAAAAAGGAAGAAGCGAGTAAAGGTAATGGATGGATGGATTATACAACAGTTCTTCTTAGCTAAATCTCATCCAATCAGAGGCTCAGGTGACTTTAATCAGGCTCTGTCCAATCAGAGCGCCTCAAAGGTCAAAGATCATGTGATCCTCACTCCAAATAATTTTCTGCTTTGCTCTAAATCATCCATCCATCCATCATCCATTATTAATCATCCATCCATCATCCTTATCTTTATTCACTTCTTCTTTTTCTGATCACGGGGGTCACTGGTGCCCATATCCAGCAGTCACTGTGTGAGAGGCGGGGGACACCTCCAGTCCATCACATGCACTTTAAAACATGTTCCCAATATTATTAAAACTATTTTAAACCAGATCCAACATGTTGGTTCTTCAGGTAAAAAACAAACAAACAAACAAAAAAAAAAAAACAGTAAATAAGTGATTTATTTATAAGGTCCGTGAGGTTTCAGGTTCATCAGTGTAACATTTATTTTTAATTTAAAATAATTCACTGAACTAAAGGAGCATGCTGACATCTGGCGGCACACTGAAGAACTGCACACAAATTTTAGGTTTAAAATGTTTCATTTTACATTTTATTTTAGTCCAAGATTGGATTTAAAAGTCTAAAAATTTACACATTCTGCTGGTTTAGACACACGGATAGATCACCACTAACACGAGACCTGACATGGGCTCATCAAAAGCAGGAATAGCTGCAGCAACAACCTGCTCTGTCCAACAGTGGAGATATTTTGTTTAAATCCATTTGAACGCCTCATGCATGTGTTTTGTTGGACTATTGTCACTTTCCTTTAGCGTTTTGATGGGCTCATTGACTTCCTGTTGTGTTTTGATGGAGTAATTTTACTTCCTGTTTGGGTTTTTTTTCAGCAGCTGTTTTGAAAGAATTCTCCAACACAACTCAGATTTGTAGTGTCTCTGTAAGAGGATCATTTTTTTATTATTTTGTCAAAATGCACTTTTGTTATATTTTATTTGTTTTGCAGAAAAGTTAATCTAGCAGTTATTTAAAAATCTTATAATCTGGGGAAATCGTTTTTAAACCATTTTACATGTAATCAGTGTTACTTGTTATTAAACCAGCCACTAGGAGCACAAGCCACTTCTCTGGTTCTAATCCCAAGCCCGGGTAAATGTTGAGGATTGTGTCAGGAAGGGCATTCAACGGAAAACACTTTCGCCAAAACTAACATTGGAGTTCATCTAAGCAACACCATACCGGATCGGCCAATGCCCGGGTAAACAACAACCACCACCGGTGCTGTTGACAAACAGGGTGCCGGAAAAAATTGTGCTACTGTTAGTCGAAGACCACGAGGAGGGAAATCTGTCAGGAGACAGAGGGAGAAGAGGAAAGTCAAGAATGTAGGACTTACGGTGGCAACTCTAAATGTGGAGACAATGACAGGCAAAGGTAGAGAGCTGTCTGACATGATGCAGAGAAGGAAGGTAGAGAGCTGTCTGACATGATGCAGAGAAGGAAGGTAGAGAGCTGTCTGA